GTAATCAGTGTGTTTGTGGGTTTTTTTGTGTGTGTGTGTGTGTGTTTTTTTTTCATCAACATTAGAAAAAAATGAAGTTATTCAAGGACCTGCTGTATTAAAATGTTTACAAGAGCACATATTACTTTTGTAAGTAGCAAAGACACTAAAGGTGGTCATGTTTTGGTGAGAAATGCATCCCAGAAAGTGGTAAGCAGAGGAGAAATCCTTAGAGATATTAGAGCTCAGTAAAGAATAAGAGACCGCTGAAGGTAAAATTTCTCTCACCCCACGGCGGTTTTGACTAAAGAGAAGGACTAGGACTTGTCAGTCTCAGGGGAGGGGTCACCCATGAACTTGACCTTGAATCCGTAGGATAGGTATGATCAACTTATACTTCACTCTGGGTTATCTCTCTGCATGTGAAGTTTCATGCAGAATTACTAACAAACTGACTTCTCTCTCCCAGCTAACTTACCAACAGGTCAGTTTACCCAGAAGTTAAATCTCTTGATAAACTTGTCTCATGTTGTCGGTGCCAGCCTATCTTGTCATTACTGCAGATAAACTGAGTTATGTGGGTTTATACGGAGGGGCATTAAAATCCTATGTGGATTATATTAAGGTTCTTAGTACTAATCTTCATCTTCTTTGGCCCTGGACCTCCATCCTAGGGAAATTGAAAAAGTAAGCCAAGATTTATTTAATGTAGCGTTAATTATAATAAAAATCTGGAATAGCTCAAATATCTAAAACACACGAGTAAGTAGATTATGTGAAGGGATATATCACAGCCTTTAAAATATTTACAATGAATTTTTAATGACTTGTTGGGAGCTTATCATAAGTACAAAAAAACCCAACAACAACCAAAATCATATTCAATGGAGGGAAAAAAAGAATCTGCTGGGAGCCCCTATATGTCAGAACTTCCTGTGAGAGGTTGAAGGCACATGTCTTCGTATCAGCGGTTACACTCCAGCTCCCTTGGTTTCCCCATGGACAGGAGTTTGGGACAAAGGACATTTTCACTAATCTCTTGGGTCATTTCCTATTAAGGTGGTATTTTGTCAAAATTTTCTTACAATAAAGATTAGGCACTGGGGGCAGCATATTCAGTGCTTGACAAAGAAACGGGCAACAGGTGAAAAATGGAGTCTGTGCCCAGGGCCTCTGAGGAGTGAGTATACCGTGGGACCAAACCCTAAACCAAGGCTGAGGAGACCGAAAGAGTGCCAGATTCATTCCCGATTGGAATTCCTGAACTTAATTGACACTAATTTAGTCTCTAGACTAAGTTTTCCCGTCCACAAGGTAGTAACGGGAATATTCTCATCAGAATGCCCCATTCACATCTGGAAATGTAAGAATCAGTCAGCCCAGGCCAGCCAGTGTTGCTCAGTGGTTGAGTGTCGACCCATGAACCCAGGAGGTGATGGTTCAATCCCCGATCAGGGCACATGCCTGGGTTGTGGGCTCGGTCCCTGGTGGGGACGTGCAGGAGACAGCCAATCCGTGTTTTACTCTCGTTGATGTTTCTATCTCTCCATCCCTCTTCCTTCCTCTCTCTAAAATCAATAAAAACATTTTTTTTAAAAAAAAGTATCAGGTTGATTGAAGCACTTCCTTAGGGGAAAACCACATCCACACTCAGGGAACAGTAACCCAAGGGTGTGGTCCCAGGAGGCTTTCTCTTCATGTAGAATAAACATGCACTGAACAATCGGAGGAGCCTTGCACGGCAGTAAGTGCCAGCCACCGTGGAACCCTGTCTTCCAGGGCTTAGACCTGTGTACTTTACAAACCTCGCGTGTGCAGATGTGTGCACTCTTGATACCTGTTGCAGTGGCCATGGGCATTGTCTAGCCTCGGGTCTTGCAGGCCGGGGAAGGTAAACACAGAACCTTGACAACCTTTTCTTCCACATTCTGCTGCTGGGCTCCCGGTCACCTGCCGGCTGGTGCGGACCTGCCCCGTGCTGGATCAAAGCAGCAAAGCTGATGAAAGATGGGAAAAATATCTGTGCGGGTGGGGTCGAGGGGAAGGGCATGCGGAGGTCAGCAAGGCAAGGCCTCTGGCTGCTTCTGGGAGGACTTGCCGAGACTTCCCACCTGTTTCCTGCTATTCACACCCCTCTTGCGCTCGTCTTTCCGTTCCCGTCTCTCTGTGCACAGTCCAGGGTAGCCCAGTTTACCAGTGACCTCCGCCTGGCAACATCCACCAGGGCATCTCGCCCATCCTGTCTGAAACGGCCTTATCTTGAGAACGTTGGATGTTACAAAGATAGGGTTTCTGGCCATCAGAATCTCCCCACTGTGGTTTAGATGGGTTTTTCAAATAGTCTTGACCAAGCTTGACAAGGTAAAATGGTAAACGATCTAAGGTAGGAAGGTTGGTTTAAGGAAGATGTGTCATCCATCACACTGAAATCGTGGCGAGGGGGACAGGGTGACCACATAGCGTCCTGTGCTTTTCAGTTGGCCTTGGGAATCGCATAATAAACGTGTCCTCTTCTAAAGAGGGGTTATCTGTGGCCTCTTTCAAATCCCGAGCGGGCTCCTAACTGGCAGGTTCCCCAGGGGGACCCTGCTCGGTCCTGGCATATGCAGGAAATGAGCCTAATTTAAGAGCAGCCTACATTAAACATGACTTTTAAAGTTAAGTCAACTGTGAGAATTATCATTTTCTCAAACTAAATATTTGTGCTGGGATCCCGTGCAAGGAGCCTGGCTGTTTCTGAGGTGAGGCTGTAAATGGGATTTAAGCACCTTAATATTGACCTGCTCTCTTCAAAGTGGAAACCAGGAGACTGGCCAACCCTCCTAGACTCTGTTGACAATGTCTTTCTCAAAGTGCCTGCCCTGGTGGGTCGTTGCCTCACCTCCGCAGCCCGAGGTCGCCACGCCCCTGGAAGCCTCTCAGGTCCCCCGTCTTTGCAGGCGTCCGCCCGCAGCCATTAGCCGCGCCAGGTGCGCCAGCATCAAAGCGGGGGTGCCGGGTGCTCCTGATCTAGGTGCTTCTGAAGGCTCCTTCCCCTCAGGTGCTGTTTGATGTGTTTGATCGTGGAATGAAAGCCAAGTTCAGGAATGAGAGGTCCTGTTTATTACCTCCTATTCCGTATCCCGTGCTGTTCCTCCAGGCGCTTCACCATCTTGGGAGAGTGTGAAAGGCTGGGACACAAGCACTGGCTGACTCGGGGTCCACGGGCTGGTGGCCTCAGGCAAGGGAGTCTGTGCCATCGTGCCCTCTCCTGCTGGAGACAGGTGATAGGACAATTCCAGCTCTTTCCGCATTGCTCTGGACAGCCAGTTGAGTGTCCAAGATTGGAACTGGGCCCTCGCTGGTTCGGCTCAGTGGAGAGAGCATCAGCCTGCGGACTAAAGGGTCCCAGGTTTGATTCCGGTCAAGGGCACATGCCCGGGTTGTGGGTTCAACCCCTAGTAGAGCCAGGAATAGCTCCTCAGGGGCCACTCCTGACTGCAGCGGGGTGGTGGTGAGATGGGGCGGGGGTGGACAAGTGTCAGAGGAGACGTGGTGTATTCAGAATAACACACTGAGTCTCAGATCAACGAGAAAGAGTCCCGAGCAGATAGGACGGCTTCGGCAGCACAGCACCAGAGTGCCGGAGCTGGTGAAGTTGCAGAGGCCTTCGCAGCGTCCCTGCTTGCTGAGTGCAAAGAACAGGGAACTGACTTGTTCTAATAAGGTGGGATAAGACTGCCCTCTAGTGGGCTGGTAGAGCCGAGCCATTGGTCTAGCCACCTCATCCACTTAGGTCCAGTGTTGCTTTCTTCTGCTGCAACTATATGCAGTGATTATTCTTTTGTTTGTTTGTTTTTACTTTATTAAAACAGAATTTTAATAAATTAAAATTTGGAGATTTTGGAGAGAGAAACGTTGATGTATTGTTCCGCTTATTTATGCATTCATTGGTTGATTCTGGTATGTGCCCTGACTGGGGATTGAACCTGGAACCTTGGTGTATTGGAACAGTGCTCCAATCAACTGAGCTACCCGGCCAGGGCCTAGAGTAATTATTTTTATGGAAGGAATTCAAATTGTATACTTTCTCAAAAACCCTGAGTCTAGAGCCTATCTTGACCTCAGAGCATTAGCCATTTATTTGCCCATCTTATCGGAGGTTTTGGTCCTTCCGCACCTCTTTCTTTCTCCCCTCCTCCCCCCATGTTAGAGTTTGTAACAAGATTCGGGTTCCTAAATGCAGAGATTATGTCTTATGTCTTTCTCTTCTGTAGCTTCTACCCATCTTCCACTTAGCTGGACATAAAATTAAAAGGCACATTGGGGTGGAAAGGAATCCTTTTCCCCCAAAAAAGAATCTCACCACTTCTCATTTGTTCCTAAAACATTCTAATCTCATCTCTCTGATCAATAGTTTCCCAAGTAGTTAAGTCATCAGAATCCCTCAGAAAACTTTTAGAGCTGTTTCCTGGGCCTCCCTCCAGCCCTGCTGAATCAGTCTCTGTGGTTTGAGCCAGGAAATCTGCTTTACAAACTTCCCAAGTGGTTTTTGATGTGCAGCCAGGTTTGGCAGCCAACTGCTCTAAATCCCCATTTACAATGATTTCTCGTAGCTTTTCCCTCTGACGGCGTCTCCAAAGGCCTTCGGCCCGTGTCAGTTATTAAAATTGACCATCTTGAGACGCCTTCAGAAATACTCTGTACGCTGCTCCAACTGCAGTGCCGGGTGCCATGGGAAGAGAGGAGGACCACAAGAGAGGGACCAAAGGCATTTGCTTTGGTTGCCAGTGGCTCTGTGTTCATAGCAGAAAATACTGAAACCAATACCTTTATGCTGACGGGGCAGGTTGTTGGTTTGTAGTTTGTGTTTAATATTTAGGTTGGATAGGGAGACAGAGGTTGACTGAGTACCCAGTTTTTTTTTATCTTCACCTATTCTAACTCATCTTGTTCTCAAGGTAGGTGGCCTTGCCCCTTGATGTACAGAGAGGAAAGGTCAGGGGGCCAGCATGCCAACCAGCTCTGTTTCCTTCTGCCAGGCTAAGCGAGCAGTGCAGCGGGGAGCCACTGCAGTCATCTTCGATGTGTCTGAAAACCCAGAAGCTATCGACCAGGTAAATCCTCGGACCGTGCCGGCACCACACCCTCCCGAGAGAAGCCCCCCACCTTTGGGTAGCTTGGCCTGTCACGGTCATGTCAGCCTCATCTCAGGGCCTTAGCATTGTCTGCTGATGGTAGCTGTCCGCGCTTGGACATCATACTCAAGGCAAGACCATGGAGAGGGGTTAAGAGCCAGGAAAGCTGGGATATAGGGGACATTTCCCAAGACCCTCTGGGCCTTCAGCCTGCCCGGTCCAGCCTAGAACCCGCCTCATCCTCAGCCTTGCCGTCGGGGAGCTCCGAGGCAGTCACGCTTGAGGAGTCGGGTGATTTCCAAACGGGTATTCCGTATGCGTTTCCTCCAGCCTTTCCCTCTCTCTCCTGCTTCTTACAGTAAGTGCGCCTTCTAACCGGGAGCGTCTCTTCTTCCTTAGCTAAACCAGGGCCAGGAAGACCCGCTCAAGAGGCCCGTGGTGTACGTGAAGGGCGCAGATGCCATCAAGCTGATGAACATCGTCAACAAGCAGAAAGTGGCTCGAGCCAGGATTCAGCACCGGCCCCCTCGAGTGAGCCTCCGCCCCAGCCCCCACACCGGCCCCTTCTCCGCTGCCACCTGAGCCTTCGTTCCCTTTAGGCTTTGGGCTCTCACTCCTGTCTTCTTTCCGATCGAATGCTGATGCGCCCCAGGTTCCTGTCGGCTTAGGTCAATGCTCCTTTAGCGGGGGTGGGAAAGCCCTTCCAGAACTAGCGGATTCGGGCCAGGATCTCCCTGGTCCCTTCCTCCCAGTGTTCCCTTTTGGGAAACTCCTCTCTCTCCTGTCCCGTCTCCCTCTGAAAGGCTGACTGAGGAGGATTGAAGGGAAGGAATTCTCTGCAGAGCTTCCCACGCCTCCTTCTTCCATGTGACCTAGACCGGAGGGGAGAAGCCTGTGCTTCCTTCTTCTGGGGAGTCAATAGCGTTATTAAAACCCCGAACCGATACTGATTCTGGAAAAGTTAGCTGTCAACTGGGATTGAAGTTCATGGCTTGTAGGAGGTTCATGAATAGTCTTTAAGGCTCCCCTGAATCAGGGTGTCGACACTGCTGACCATAAGCTCTTGTCTGGCATCTTCTGCCTGAACTTCTGAAGATTCTAGGAACCTGGGACAGGTGCCCCATATCTGGTTTATTTCCTTCTCACAGATATTGGGACCTTCACTCTAGGATGGGTCTTTTCCATGCACATCATAGCTGGACACCTGAGGCATTCAGTTAGCAAAATTCTATTCCTATTGGCTAAAGGCAGGTCGTAGATAAGGTGGCCTCAAGGTCTTAGGAGGCAGTGAGACCTGAGGAAAAGGTAAGAACTAAAAGCAGAGGGAGTTTGCAGAAGAGCTGACATGCTGGCTTCTTGTTTAAAGGGAAAAAAGAGCACTTTGGTAAATATGACTCATTGTAGTGGAAGCTGATACTTGTGGAAGCAGCGTACAATTTTCTGAGTTGTTGTAAACCATTAATTACATGGTTAGTAATCACTGCTCCCTCCAAACATGACACTCATTCCTTTGTCCCCAAAAATGCGATATTTGTGTTTATTTGGAGAAGCCTCTTTTACCGGTTCTAGCGAACTTTGCACTATTCCACTGGGAGCTGGGCTCCGTGAACTGTTAGGAGACCTGGCTGAGACCGCTGCAGGCCTCCCCCTGGCGACACTGGAGGGTACTACCTGGCCTGAATAGCACCCGGTGTGCATGTTAGCAGATCCCCAGGTGTTCCCTGCAAATGGGGGAGCGAGGGGGAGTGGACCCCAGTTGCTCCATCCTTATTCCGACTTGAGCCAACACAGCCCGTGCACCGAACCTCAGGCTGAAGAAAGCGGTGACTCACTGTGTCTGTGTTCTGTTCCAGCAACCCACGGAGTACTTCGACATGGGGATTTTTCTGGCTTTCTTTGTCGTGGTCTCCTTGGTCTGCCTCATCCTCCTCGTCAAAATCAAGCTGAAACAGAGACGCAGTCAGGTAATGGCCGTGCACACTGATGCCAGCTGCCCTGCCCGGTCCCAGGGGCCTAGAAATAGCAAAGACAGAAAAGCTAGAGCACCGCTTACAGCGCTGAGTCTTCCCTATTCTCAAAGGCCCGGTCCTGCGAAGGCCGAGCATTAGGGGTGTTGCCAGCCAGGCATTTTTCCAAAGAAATGTTTAAATGTTCATGTGGAACCCAGAGCCTTGATCTGGGCACCAGCAGCAGCAGTGTCACCCGGGAGCTTGGTAGAAATGCAGGGTCTCAGGCCCCGCCTCAGACCTGCTGAATCTAAGTCGCATCTACCTCACTTTCCAGGTGATTCTCAATGAGCAGAGTAGGCGCTCTGGGGCCCCAGCTGGCACATGGCTGTGTAGGAAGGATTTGGGGGTGGAAGGTGATGAGAAGCTAAGCGGGAATCCTGACTCTCAAATGGGTAGCAGCGTGCTGTCTCGGGGGAGCGATGGTGGACCTTGGCAGGCAGTCTGTTGAGAGGAGCGTCGCCGAGTTCTCGGTAGAACGGTGGCCGGTGTTTGCCGAGCACATCTGGCTTACCAGGTGCCGCGCCCTCATGCACACTGTCTCATTTGCCCTCAGAACTTCCTCCAGGGTAAAGGGGAGGAACCCTGGCACAGAGCAGGGTCTTGCACAGTTGGCCAAGCCCTTGAAGTAGACCTCTGCCCGGTCCTTCCCCTGGGAGAGGCCTGGGTTGCTGTCATGGGCACTCAGGAGCCTGGCACATCTGGGCTGTGGCAATCTGGATTTTCGGTGATTTCCCAAATGTCTGCTCTGGCCTGATCGAGACTAGCATTACCCTATCCTGGCTGATCGAGCTCCGAGGCCCTGAGGGTGACTCCCACTGTTCATACGTGCCAGACCCTAACGCAGGCCACACTCTGCCATGCAGAATTCCATGAACAGGCTGGCTGTGCAGGCGCTGGAGAAGATGGAGACCAGGAAGTTCAACTCCAAGAACAAGGGGCGCCGGGAGGGGAGCTGTGGGGCCCTGGACACGCTTAGCAGCAGCTCCACGTCCGACTGTGCCATCTGCCTTGAGAAGTACATCGACGGAGAGGTAACGGCAGAGGCTGGCTCGTGGGGACGGGGCTAGCTGATGGCCTGTTCCCCTCTCCCTGGATCCCTCGTGTGGGCTCTGACTCCAGGGAATGGGGCCCACCTGTACTGGAGATGGAGGGGGCTGGGAGGGAGCCTGGGCCTTCAGGCTGTGTCTCACTCCCTTCCCAGGAGCTGCGGGTTATCCCCTGCACTCACCGCTTTCACAGGAAGTGCGTGGACCCATGGCTGCTGCAGCACCACACCTGCCCCCATTGTCGGCACAACATCATAGGTAATTGTCACCTACCTCTCGATGCTGAAGAGTCATTGCCTAGCAAGAGGGTGACACCTGCTGCAGGCTGGTGAGCGAGCAGAACCACCACAGCGTTGCCCTTGGGACTGGAGGTGTGGAGGTTACCAGCCTCCAAACACTGCGGAGAGCCTGGCATGAAGACTCGCCCTGAGTTTGAGTTTTGGCTTTCACACGAACCCGCGTCCTGGCCTGTCCAGGCCTCAGGCCCGTGATCTCTTTAAAGGGAGTGACAGTAGGGGTGCTTGCCTGTGCCCGGTACTGCGGAGCCGTTCCCGGGCCACGGGATGGTGACTGGGCGTGGCAGGGTTGTGCTGCTGCTGTCACTGCGATATTGGGTGGCGGGCCTGGATCACAGGGTGCACTCCAGGTGGCTGCGTTGCCATGAGGGACGGTACCTTCCATCTTGGTGGCCCTGTTGCCCTCTGCAAACTCCTGTGGTGCCTTTGTTGGGCGGAGCAGTGGGAGGTGGGGGATGAGCCCTGATGGGAGTGACCGCCTTTCAGAGAAGCAGGTCATTCCTTTTCTGCCAGCGAGGCCGTGTTTGGTGACAGCTTAGAGCAGATCAGGGTCGTGAAATGGGCACTGAGGTATGTGACCAACCCTGCTGCTTCGGTCTTTGCGCTGAGCTCTCTGTCCCTCTGGCCCTGCTGACTTTGTTTCCTCCGCCTTTCCCCAGAGCAAAAGGGGAACCCAAGCGCTGTTTGCGTGGAGACCGGCAACCTCGCACGCAGCCGGCAGCAGAGGGTGATCTTGCCGGTGCACTACCCCGGCCGCGTGCACAGGACCAACGCCATCCCAGCCTACCCCACGAGGACGAGCATGGACTCCCACGGGAACCCCGTCACCCTGCTGACCATGGACCGGCACGGGGAGCAGAGCCTCTATGCACCACAGACCCCTGCCTACATCCGAGGCTACCCGCCCCTCCACCAGGACCACACCCTGGCCCCTCACCGCTGCGGCCTGGAGCACCGAGCCTACTCCCCGGCGCCCCCCTTCCGCAGGCCCAAGTTCAGCGGCCGCAGCTTCTCCAAGGCAGCTTGCTTCTCCCAGTATGAGACCATGTACCAACACTACTACTTCCAGGGCCTCAGCTACCCTGAGCAGGAGGGCCAGGCCCCCCCCGGCCTCGTGCCCAGGGGCCCGGCCCGTGCCTTCCCCCCGAGTGGCGGCGGCAGCCTGCTCTTCCCCACCGTGGTGCACATGGCCGCGCCCTCCCACCTGGAGAGCGGCAGCACGTCCAGCTTCAGCTGCTACCACGGCCACCGCTCCGTGTGCAGTGGCTACCTGGCCGACTGCCCCGGCAGCGACAGCAGCAGCAGCAGCTCCGGCCAGTGCCACTGCTCCTCCAGCGACTCGGTGGTGGACTGCACTGAGGTCAGCAATCAGGGCGTGTACGGGAGCTGCTCCACCTTCCGCAGCTCTCTCAGCAGCGACTACGACCCCTTCATCTATCGCAGCCGGAGCCCCTGTCGCGCCAGCGACGTGGGGGGCTCGGGCGGCTCGGGCCGGGGGCCGGTCGTGCACCTCGAGGGCTCCCCGCCACCCGAGGAGCTCCCGGTGGCCCACGGTCAAGGTGCTGGGCGGGGAGAGCCTTGGCTGGGCCCTGCCTCTCCCTCGGGGGACCAGCTCTCCACCTGCAGCCTGGAGATGAACTACAGCAGCAACTCCTCCCTGGAGCACAGGGGGCCCAACAGCTCTACCTCAGAAGTGGGGCTCGAGGCTTCCGGGGCCACCCCAGACCTCAGGAGGACCTGGAAGGGGAGCCGCGAGGGGCCATCGTGCGCCTGCTGCTGCGAGCCCCAGCCCTCTGCACTGGAGCCCAGCGGGGGAGCGGCTGGGGGCAGCACCTTATTCCTGGGCGCCCCCCTCTGTGAGGGCTGTGGCCCCACAGGTGCGGAGTCCCAGCCGGGAGGCTCCCAGGGCCTGTGTGGCCTTCACCCAGACCATTTGCCCAGGACAGACGGGGTGAAATATGAGGGCCTGCCCTGCTGCTTCTATGAAGAGAAGCAGGTGGCCCACGGCAGCGGAGGGGGCAGCGGCTGCTACACTGAGGACTGCTCGGTGAGCGTGCAGTACACGCTTGCCCAAGAGCCCCCGCCCAGCTGCCACCCGGGGGCCCGGGACTTGAGCCAGCGCATCCCCATCATTCCAGAGGATGTGGACTGTGACTTGGGCCTGCCCTCGGACTGCCCAGGGACCCGTGGCCTCGGCCCCTGGGGTGGGACGCTGGGCCCCCACACCCTGCAGCCCCACAGGAGCCTGGGAGCAGCCCAGGAAGAAGAGCGGGTTCTGTGCTGCCAGCCCAGGGCACCACTGCCACCCGTCCGCCCCCCGGAGGAGGCAGGGGCCGCCAGGGCCAGCTTCCCCAGTGCCTCCCAGGACACTCAGGAGTCCAGCGCCACGGCCGCTGAGGCTGCAGGTGAGAGCAGTGACAGCAGGCCAGTCGGGTCCTCTTCTCTCTCCGCGGTCATGTTCTAAGGGCTCCCTTTGTGCCGTTGACCTGAAACACCATCTGTACCTGGTAACTTCCAGTGTTACCCCCCAACTCAGCCCTTCCCCGAGTGCCAGACCCATTGGGCCCTTTGCTGCCATAATTTCTCCCCCTGGATGCCACGCAAGCACCCCCACCTGTCAGATCCACAGCAGCCCTCTCAAATTTCTCCTGCACCCCCTCCTCCAAGGTTCCCCACCCAAAACCCCAGCACCATCTAACCCTGGGCCCACCCTGCCCCTCACACTTGTATCGTGGGCATCTCAACCTGTGAGAATTATCCAGAAAATTGAATTCCCAGAAAAATGAAACTTAGCAAAAGACATGTCAAATCCAAATCCAGAATTCTTACTAGATTCAGCTGACATCATCAGATTGCTATAAAGTTCCCCAACGTTCTGTCTCGGTAAGAAACGGTGCAATCCGGCACCTCTGTGTGGTCTCCTGTCACGGGTCTCGCCTTCTCTTCCACCTGGGAGCTGAAGTGGTCTTTGTTTTTCTTCTTCGTTTTTATAAATTTATTTTATTTTTAAATATATCGATTTTTCTACAGAGAGGAAGGGAGAGGGATTAGAGAGTTAGAAACATCGATCAGCTGCCTCCAGCCCACTCCCCACTGGGGATGTGCCTGCAACCAAGGTACATGCCATGCCCTTGACCGGAATCGAACCGGGGACCCTTCAGTCAGCAGGCCAACGCTCTATCCACTGAGCCAAACCGGTTAGGGCTATAAATTTATTTTTTTTTTAATATATTGTATTGATTTTTTACAGAGAGGAAGGGAGAGAGATAGAGAGTTAGAAACATCGATCAGCTGCCTCCTGCACATCCCCCACCGGGGATGTGCCCGCAACCCAGGCACATGCCCTTAACCGGAATCGAACCTGGGACCCCTCAGTCCGCAAGCCGACGCTCTATCCACTGAGCCAAACCGGTTTCGGCTATAAATTTATTTTTATTGAGAGAGAAACATCAATCTGTTGTTGCACTTCCTTATGCATTCATTGGTTGATTCTGTGTGTGCCCTAACTGGAGATCAAGCCTGCAACCTTGGTGTATTGGGATGGTACCCGAACCAACTGAGCTACCCAGCCAGGGCCAAAGTGTTCTTTTTTGAACAGAAGTCTATGTATTTACACTAGAAAACCTTTAATGAGTTGCATGCCCTTTGGAACTTTGAAAATGTAGCCCCCTTGTGGCCGCTATCCTGTTCCTCCAACATGCCTCCAGCTCATTCTAGCCTCCAGACCTCTCTGCTGCTGCTCCCCCAGATCTCAGTTTAAATGAGTCCCTCCAGCTACCTCTGAGGTTATCTCACACCCTGTGTCCTTCCCCGGTGATCACAACCCAAAATCACTTTGTTTTGAGGCCTGTAAGCTTATGAGGGGGTGAGGGGGTGTCTCCTCCCCTCCCTGCTCTCCCCAGTGCCTGATGCACATCTTCTGATCATTGTGTTTGCATGCTACCTAAGGGCTTCCAGAAGGTTCTGTAGGTCCAGATGAGGGAGGCTGGCTCTCTCGGAGACACCTGTGCTCAGCACAGCCTGAGGAGCTCTGCTTTAGCCTTTGGCCGGATGCACAGTCCGGCCCGTGCTGTGAGCGGTCACTTCGGAGAGCTGGCCCCGGGCTGGGGATGGGCAGCCAAGTCCCCTGTCCCCGTGCCCTGTGCCCGAGGCCTGCGGCGCCGGCTCCTCCCTGACGGCTCTTCTCTCTCTCTC